ATGCGAGGTGTGGTGCGCTATAGGGACCCGGAAAGCCCCTATGCAGAGAGAACGCCTGTCAAGGATTACAGGATGCGGACGGACTGGGGCATCTACGAGGACCCCGGCCAGCTGACGGGGGGTATCTACAGTGTGAGTGACGTGGCCGGGGTGGGGGTGTACCACGAGGGGGGCGACATGGGGGAGGAGGGGGGGGACGACAACGTGTATGGCTTCAACGGCCGCAACACTTCCCGGCTCTCGACCGGCCAGTGGTCCAGTACACACAGTCTCGCGGCCACCTCGTCTCCCGCTCGTCCTGCGCTCAGTGGATCTACCTCGGGAGGACTCCGGAACCACTTGGGGGAGAGTCAGAGGCGCTCCCAGGGGGGCACCTACAGCAGGGACTCCAGCAGGCACCAGGACTACCAGCGGCCGTCGCGCAACACGTCCGTCGAGCCGCTCTACAGGACCGTAGACAAGCGCAGCAGCGAGCGGAACCTTCACGGAAGTGGCAGATCGTCCCAGCGGCGGAGCTACACGAGCAACTCGAGGGGGGACTACGGGAACGGCTACCGGAGCCTCAGGAGCTACCCGTCGGCGGCAGAGGACTACGACGACAGAGAGCCCAAGAGCTTCGACCACGGCGGCATCAGCAACGGCTACAGCTCGCGGTCCGTGCCCGAGTATTCCTCGCGGAGCCACGACAACTTGAAGCGCAGCAGCAGCAAGGACTACCTCAGCTCGAGTGACATCTACGGCACGCGCAAGTCGTACCCGTCGGAGACCCCGCCCAAGGGCATCCTCACCAACACCGGCAAGTACGGCGGCGGCAGTCGCAGCAGCCTCACCGCCTCCAACTACACGAGCGGCAGCCGCAGCAACCTCGCGGCCTTCGGGAGCCACGGCGCCGACGACAAGGCCGACCTCTCGGGCTCGGACGCCTTCGAGAAGCGCGGGAGCTCGTCGCTGCCGAGGGCGTCGCACGTGCTCACCAGCACCAAGGGCAGCCAGACCGAGCTCTCCTTGGCCGACGACCTCACCAAGCCGCCCGACGGAAGGGGCGCCAGCAAGTCGAGCCTGCAGGTGCCCGACGCGGGAGGCAGCGCCAGCAGCAGGCACAGCAGCAGCAGCACTCAGCAGGTCTCCTTCAGCACCGGAGGGGCGTCCGACAGCAGCCAGTACGGCGGCAAGGATGAGCGGAAGTACGATTCTCTGAGTCGGAAGAGCGGCGAGAAGCGAGCGTCGGAGAAGGCGCGCAAGGCCAAGGGCACCAAGGACGAGCAGAACCAGACGGACGACGAGATGAGCCAATGGAGCGGCCACAACGGCGGCCCCGGCCAGTGGCACGACCGCGACGCCTACTACGCCCGCGAAGACCAGCACCACCCGCACGCCCACGGCCGCCTGGCGCCGCCCCTCCCGCGCCCGCCCATGCCCCCGCAGCACTACCCGGGGCACGACGGCCAGACGCACCCCAACCACACCCACCAGCACGCCACGGACCACAGCCCACACCCTTCCCACAACCACGCCTACCACAGCCACGGGGCCAACCACGCCCACCACAGCCAGCACTCGCGGCACCAGTCCTCCTCCGGGAGCACCAGACAGCTCGTCCACGCGGAATCCACGGAAGGTGAGTGTTGCCCCGCCCGCGCCCTGCTCCAGCGAGGGCGCCGGTCCGTTCCTTCCGTCTCCCTTTCCCTTCAAAGTCATACATCAATAGGATTTAATACTCTGCTCTAACTAGGACTAAATCACTATTTTTTTCTCTCTTTTATTCCCTTTTAAGTCATATATCAATTTGAATTAATAACTGTATGAATAAATCCACGTCATTCTGTTTAAAATTAAGAGCCATTTGTATATTTAAAATAGATTGCTTTATACCCCATGTATTACTGATAAATTTTAAAACGTATGAATATAACTATGAATATAACATTTATCAGTAAAAGGACTTAGATTAAATCATACATTCTTAATCAATTTAATAGCTTTTACACGTGTATTCATACCAAAGTTCATACCAAAATATTGCTTAGCGTTTTCTAAAGTCTATTAAATGGAATGAGTGATTTAATCGGCATTATAAACGCTGAGATATGTTGTGTTAATGAGTTTGTTAAATTTCCCATTAAAATCATTTATAAAGTGTGTAAATTGTATGTTCAGAGGCCTTTCGTGTAATTTCTTTTCTTTAATGTGTATGACTTTTTCAGAATATTTAGCATGAAATAACTAAACTCTAATGTTTTAATGACTTGTGTTCTAATTATCAAATGTAAATAGAATTTGTCATCATCTTTATTATACAGGTGGTACTTTTAGCGTATATCCAAACCAAATACCGAAAGACTTTATTATAAACATTAATTCTGATGATATGCATAATAAGCGAACATCAAAATACGTTCAAAATATCGTTTCCAAAATTTTTCGTACGTTCGAGAGCAATTTGTACTTACAAGTAGGCCTATAGCAACGAGCTCAAATGACTTTCTAAAATAAACAAAAAAAAAAAGAGAAATGGTCTTTTTTTATTTTTTTGAAAGTGAGGAAGGGTTATTAAATATGGATTTCGAGGAAAGGGCATTATTTAAGAGCCTTTTCCCGGGGACTGCAATAATGCAAATTGCAGATTAGCGAGTGAATCACGCTATTATTATTACAGCTTCCGTGTATGTCGGTATAACACGTAAAAATGCTGTACTTACCGTTCTGTTGGTTTAGTTAAAAAATACAGAGAAAAAAAGAAAAAAAAAGAGAAAAAGGAAAAAGGAAAAAATAGTATTTGATTTTTTTTTCTTTTTATTGTTGATTATTTGCATCTCTTGTGTTTATGATCTTTTTGTTTGTTTGTGTTTTCGTTTTTTTTTTACGATTGGGATTCCTTTGATGGATATTTTTTTTTTACCCTGTATCGCTCATTCATCTGTGTCTCCTTTATTTTATCTTTCCCTTCCTCCCTTCTCTCAGGTCAGAAGTAACTTTTGGTTTTATCGAGAGAGAGAGAGAGAGAGAGATAGAGAAAGAAAATGAATAGTAGAGAGAATAGGATGGAGACAAAAACAGAGAAAAAGGAAATATAGATAGACAACCCGAAAAAAAATAAGAAGAAAAAGACGCAAAATAACGAAAATAAAAGGAGATAGAGATAGAGAGAAGAGAAGAAAATACCAGGGTACTGATCATTACCCAGATTGCCCATTACCGAAGTTTCTAGACTATTTCTAATGGCCCCAAAGGAGTCATTAGCAGCAAGACTCTTGCTCTGTCCGAGAGAGGGGGGGGAGGGGGAGGGGGGGGGAGGAAGATGATAGAAAAGATGATAGAAAAAAAGGGAGAGATTATTGGGAGGGAAGGAGAAAGAGGGGATAGGGGATAGAGGGGTAAAGAAAGGGGAAAGAGAGGGGAGTGAGAGGGACTAAGAGACAGAGAGAGAAGAGAAAGGAGGGGAGAAAGGGAGATGGTAAAAATAGGGGAAAAAAAATATTGGGAAGGAAGGAGAAAGAGGGGTAAAGAGGATAGAGAAAGAAGGGGAGAAAGGAAGGTGGTAATAAAAGGGGGGGGGGATTGAGAGAGAGGGAGAAAGAAGGAGGAGGGAGGTGAAAGAGAAAAAAATATATATATTTCACTATGGAAGGAAAAAAAACAGAAAGAGATAAGGAGAGAGGGAGAGGAAGGCTGATAGATAAATAGATAATTGGATAGATAGAGGGAGGGAGAGAGAGAGAGAGAGAGAGAGAGAGAGAGAGAGAGAGAGAGAGAGAGAGAGAGGAAGGTAAATTTGTAGTTAAAGGGAGAGAAAGGAAGTGAAAAGACAGACGGATAGAAATATTTGTAATCAAAATAGTGGGGACAAGTGAACGATTTTTTTTATGTATTCTTGTTATTTTATGTTGGTTCATGATGTTTGTTTGTTTGTTTGTTTTTGGTGTGTGCAACGTGTAGGCTTTCCATGACATGATATCAAAGTTGACATGAATACTTCTCAATAGATATGATATTGCTTTTCTCCTCTCTGGCTCTGTCCTCGTTTCTCTCTCTCTCTCTCTCTCTCTCTCTCTCCTGCTCTCCTTCTCTCCTTCACTCTCGCTTTTCCTCGCTTTCCCTCCCCCTTCGTTTCCTTCGTCCCTTCCCCCTCTCCCTCCTTCTCCCTCCTCTCCCTTCTTCCCCCACTCCCCTCTCCCTCTCCCCCACCCCCTCTCCCTCCCTCCCTCCCACCCACCCACCCACCCACCCACCCACCCACCCACCCACACACACACACACTTTCCCTCCCACCCCCTCCCTCCTTCCCTCCTTCCCTCCCTCCCTCCCTCCTTCCCTCCTTCCCTCCCTCCCTCCCACCCACCCACCCACCCACACACACACTTTCCCTCCCACCCCCTCCCTCCTTCCCTCCCTCCCTCCCACCCCCTTCCTCCCTCCCTCCCACCCACCCACCCACCCACACACTTTCCCTCCCTCCCTCCCACCCCCTCCCTCCCTCCCCTCAAACATACACACACACTTCTGAAACCGCTCCTGTGCAACACTTCATTGTCCTTAAAGATCAAAGAAAGAGCTTTATAATAAACTCCTTTTCTTTGTGTGTGTGTGTGTGTTTGTTTGTTTGTTTGTGTGTTTGTTTGTTTCCTCTCTCTCGCGTCGAAATACAGCGTAAACTCGTTGAAAAATTGTTCTGTGGTATTGTGTCTCGACGCGCCTGTGAGGAGGACTACGACCCTTCTGTCTTCCTCGCTTTCTTATCCCTTCTTTCTTATCCTTCCCTTCTCTTCCTTTCTTCCTTTCTCTCTTTTTCTTTTTTTTCCTTTCTCTCATTCTTTCTTTCTTTCCTTTCTCTCTTTCTTTCTGCCTTTCTTTCTTTCTTTCTTTCGCTTTTCCTTCTCTTTCCTACTTTCCTCTTTGCTCTCTCTCTCTCTCTCTCTCTCTCTCTCTCTCTCTCTCTCTCTCTCTCTCTCTCTCTCTCTCTCTCTCTCTCTCTCTCTCTCTCTCTCTCTCTCTCTCTTCTCTCTCTCTCTCTCTCTCCTCTTTCTCCTACTCCCTCCCTCCCTTCTTCTTCCCTCCTCTTGCTTCTTCTCCTCCTCCTCTACCTTCTTATCTCTCTCCTTCTTCCTCCTCTTCCTCGGCTCTCTTCCTACTTTCCTCCTCTTCTTCCTTCTTCCTCCTCCTCCTACTTTCCTTCTATTCTTTCTTCGTCCCCTCCCTCCCTCGTCCCCTATCTCTTTCCTTCCCCCCTTTCTCCCTTCTTAACTCCCTCCCTCCTTCCCTCCCTCCTCCCTCCTCCTTCCCTCCTTCCCTCCCTCCCTCCCTATCTTTCCTTTCCTTCTTTCTCCCTACCTTTCTTCCTTCCCCCCTTTCTCCCTCCCGCATTCCTTCCTTCCTTCCTTCCTTCCTTCCCTCTTTCCTTCCCTCTTTCCTTCCTTCCCTCTTTCCTTCCTTCCCTCTTTCCTTCCTTCCCTCTTTCCTTCCTTCCTTCCTTCCTTCCTTCCTTCCCTCTTTCCTTCCTTCCCTCTTTCCTTCCTTCCCTCTTTCCTTCCTTCCCTCTTTCCTTCCTTCCCTCTTTCCTTCCTTCCTTCCTTCCTTCCTTCCTTCCTTCCCTCTTTCCTTCCTTTCTTCCTTCCTTCCTTCCCTCTTTCCTTCCCTTTGCGTCCACCCTTCATTTCATCATAACTGTAGGAAACGAGGAGGGTCGTGTGAATTATTGCGTGTGTGTGCGTGTGTGTGTGTGTGCGTGTGTCTGTGTCTGTGTGTCTTTGATTCTGTGTGTGTGTGTGTGTGTGTGTGTGTGTGTGTGTGTGTGTGTGTGTGTGCGTGTGTCTGTGTGTGTCTTTGATTCTGTGTATGGTCGTGTGTGTGTGTGTGTGTGTGTCTGTGTGTGTGTGTGTGTGTCTGTGTGTGTGTGCCTGTGTGTGTGTGTGTGTCTGTGTGTGTCTTTGATTCTGTGTATGGTCGTGTGTGTGTGTGTGTGTGTGTGTGTGTTTGATTCTGTGTATGTACGTGTGTGTGTGTGTGTGTCTTTGATTCTGTGTATGTACGCGCGTGTGTGTATGTCTTTGATTCCGTGTATGTACGCGTGTGTGTGTGTGTTTCTAATTCTGTGTATGTACGTGTGCATTCGTGTGTGTCTGTATTTCTGTGTGTAGGAGGTTGTGCATGAATGTGTGTAGGAGGGGGGGTCTGCTGTGTTTCTTTATGTGTACATGTTTGTGTGTATGTGTATTCCTGTGTAAAAGTTCGTTCCCATGTGCATGTGCATGTTTATGTCTCCGTGGATACATGTACATGCCTAAAGGCAACTTGAGTGTGTCTGCGTTTCTGTTTATGTGTGCCTGTCAGTCTCTCTCTCTCTCTCTCTCTCTCTCTCTCTCTCTCTCTCTCTCTCTCTCTCTCTCTCTCTCTCTCTCTCTCTCTCTCTCTCTCTCTCTCTCTCTCTCTGACTCTCTATCTCTATCTATCTATCAATCTGTCTATCTATCTGTCTATCTGTCTGTCTATCTATCTACCAATCTCTCTCTCTCTCTCTCTCTCTCTCTCTCTCTCTCTCTCTCTCTCTCTCTCTCCCTCCCTCCCTCTTTCTCTCTTACCTCACTCACTCAGTCCCTCTGTCTCTCTTTCACTCAATCTCTC